AATTAGATTTTTTGTTCATGAAAATGAAAAAAAAAAGAAACAGCCTTTGCAGCTAGTGAAAAAGCAATGCTACGACCCACACAGGCCACAACCCAAAGACACGGTACAGAGTACAGAAAACATTACCAGACACGTGACATCTTCAGACCATTGCCTACTATCAAGGTAGGCGTTAGTGTATCCAAACCCTGAAAAACATGATTCTCACAACTTAATAACCTAACATAAAGGCGATGAACAAAAAATCTGGAGATGGCTGCAAGTCTTGATATTCAATGATCGAATGGTATAAGACATAACAAGTTAATCGCAGAGATGTAGATCCAGAGAAGAACCAACTTACAGAGAGTACAAACGGTGCACCTGGTGATATGTCTGAGTAAAGACAATCGTCCAACTCCAGCAATACATACTCTTCCTCTTCCACTTCCACTTCCACTTCCACTTCCTCTTCCTCCTGACCAAGTTTCTTGTCTTTCTCAAGTGTTTCTGACATCTCCAATTGCAAGACCAAGAAGACTCTTCAGTCCTATTCAGCACGCAGGAGACCAGAACGGCAACCTATGTTATTATATGCAACAACACGTCAGCACAGTGCAGAAAATACTTGTAGCCAGTCATGCGTTCTAATATCAGTATCAGCAACTCAGTAGTGACATTCAATATTCAGTTGTTCACAGATCAATGTGCAAACAAAATATCATATTATCATTTACGTTCCAGTGGCAGATATAGAAATAGAGAGTACTGTTTCCTAATTTAGACAAATAAAAACTATGGCTAATTTTAACTTGCAATTAAACTGAATCAGACCAAACATAGATTGCAATCAAACAATGTATGCAGCTGCCACCTAGCAAGGAACTTGGTAGCCGGCAGCGAACCATACCATAGAAACCTCACAATCTTGATTGCATGATATAAATCTGAATTAGTCGCAAAAAAAAAGATATAAATCTGAATTAATCATTTAATGAAGGGGAAAAGCAATGTGAATGCATACCTAGCAAGGGCCTCGGCATTCGGCAAGGCGGCAGCACACCGGGGTCATGACTATCGTACGGCAAGCGGAAGCACAGCAACGTAAGGAGCGGCGGTAGACCCCGATAGGGTGATGATCAGCGGCTACCAGTGGGTCTCTCCTAGCTGCGGGCTGCGGCAGCGACCGGCGGGAGGGACCAGCCGACGGGCGGCGGTAGACGTGTGAGGGTGATGATCAGCGGCGGCCGGTGGGTCTCTCTTAGCTGCGGCAGCGACCGGCGGGAAGGACCAGACCACGGAGGGCCGCGGTTGGGCGGCAAGGCGGCGGGGAGAACCGGAGGAGGGATCGAGGAGACTGAGCGCCTGCGCTCGTGTGGGCTTCGGCCGGCTGCGGCTAGGCGCTCGTGGGCCGAGATTGGCGAGCGCGGTGTGGCTCTGCGAGCGGTAGCCCGTAGCCGGCAAGAAGAGACGGAGAAATTTTCTGAATTCACCCCACTTTTTGCCTCACTAATTGACCACTAAACTATCGATAAAAAAAATTGACCACTAAACTATCGATATAGTTTGATTTATTACATCTCTCGTGGCTGGTATGGTGTCACGTACGCCAAAGACACTCTAAACCACTTAGGCTCCGTTCGGTTACAGCGCTATGACACGAGGAACAGTTCCGGTCCTGAAAAGCTAATATAAATGAAACTACCGATCCGGCCTGGAATTCTTCCCGGAGGTCATTCCCCGGGAACCGAACAGGGCCTTAGGGAGATAAATAAGATGATTTTAAAAGTTGGATGAATCTAGAAATCTGTTTTTTTTTATTGAGGGAGACAAATCAGACATATCTCGATACTTGAACATAATGATTCAAAGCGTACCAAAGATTTGGATGATACCAAAGATTTGGTTTTTCTAGGGTGATAACTTCCAAGTTTCGAAAGTTAAGTGAAGAGATCTATCTTTTCCCAAAATAATATATTCATAGATTAAGGGTTTGTTTGGATCCATTAGCACTAAAAACTAGCCTCTACAATTAGTACTAATGGATCAAAACATACATGCTAATAAACCTACTAATTATTAGCTGGAGGGTGCTAACTATTTGTTCCATTAGCACATGTTAGGAGTTGCTAATAGGTACTAATAGTTCATATACACATTCAACACACTATCCAACTCACCTATTAGCAGATGGATCTAAACAGCCCTCTTGGTAAAAATTAGCAACTATTAGCTATTAGCTAGCTAATTTAGGTTCAAACATGCCTAAGAAAGAAATACCTATATATGAAAATAAGAGGTTATGTTCCTAAATTTTGTTCAAAATGTCAACTTATTAGGCATGGGCCAATTATAGTTATTTGTTCCAATCCAAATCATAAACAAAGAAATGGGTAGTCTTTTGAAAAAAAAACTTCGATGGTTGCGGACCTAGGACTTGAATCCACAGTAATAGTTGCGGACCTAGGACTTGAATCGAGGATGTGCCTAGCAAAAAAATGTCTCACGTTTGATATGGTATATATAATCCAATACATAATCTGAATCCAATCGAGCTCAAGCAGTGAGGATCAGCCAAGCGAAGAGAGGATCTAGAGACAAGTACTTAACAATGTTGATTTTTTTTAGTTTAGACCTTTAAAATCTAACTAGTAATAATAATTCAATCCAAAATATAGGGTAAGCATAGGCCTAGATGGCCTAAGGCTGAGTCCACCCTACACGGTAATGTTCAAATTGCAAAGTTTGATAGTTAGAGGAGTCTAAAATTATAGTTTTGTAAATGAGGGAGATAAATACTAAATTACTAAGGGTACTGTCTTTAGGGGGGGGCGCTAGGATAAGAAAAAATCAGGACAAAGAAGTCAAAGATGAATTCAGCATCTTTTCTGTAGTCTAGCATCCTTTTCCTAGTTTTTCTTGCTCCACAACCGAGTGTTTTTTGTTTTAAAATATATGTCGTTCTAGTTATATCCTAAGTAAGCCATTTAACATTTGACCAAGTCTTCTTATAAGAAATACATTTAATATCCACAATACTAAACAAAGCACAATTGGTACATTTTATGATGGATTCAATGAAACTAAATACTGAATAAAGCACTATTGATACATTTTATGATGGATTCAATGAAACTAATTGGATATTATTGATGTTGGCATATATTTTGTATAGATCTTGTGGTGCTAAAAAATTAATTTATAACAAAGCTAAAACAACATTATATATTAGAGGGTATTGATATATATTATGATCTGATGACCCTCGGGAAAAAAGCCAAAGAAAGGTCCCTACAATAGCAACAGCTACAGAAAATAATAAAATAATAGTGATTTTCCTCTTTTTCTCAAATAGTCGACGGTCTAGGAAAGGAGGATTTTCATCCATTTATTTGGATGATACCTATTCCCCCCTTTTGGGTCAGAGGCAGAGGCGGTAGTACCTCCTGCCCCCGGACCCAGGACCCGCAGAACTCAAAGAGAAATGCGTAGTCCCCGTTCTCGGGGAATTCATTGCTGTGATTTTCAAAGTGGAGGGAGAAGTATGTATGTCCGCTTCTTGACCATCCAGTCATTCACGGGCGATGCAATGCACACGATTCACCCCTACATCTGCGTGTAGAACATGAAGTCGGGAGACAACACTCTGGAGCCGTGGCGAATCGCAAGATCTCCGCGCTATCTGGAGCAGGAACAGCGTGGTGTGAAGCCTTGTAAACTCAGCCCTCCTTGCCGCCAGTGCCACCCAGAAACAACGACCACTCGACCAGCCCAGTAGCCCACGAGGCCACAACCACTCCATATCCACGCAGCGTCACCGCGATCCCACTCCAGTCGTCCAGTCCAGTATCGCTGTCGCCCACCAGTCCACCACCACGTGACCGGGTATCTGGGTCTGGCATGGTAACTACACAGGCTTTCCGTTAGGGTTGGCAGGTCCACAGCGGTTAATCTTATCACTGTGCAACGGCAACGGTCATGCGAAGCGAGGTGGGCAGACTGCCGCCGCCACGGGACGCGCACGTCAACGGTCTTCCGCCCGCCCCGAGGGGCGCTTCCGTGGTGTCGCATCCCCACTATTCACTAGCTCCCGGCGCGTCCGCGGCAGCACCAGCACATGGGGTGAGGGCCCGGCGCACGGCAAAAGGTCACGCCTGCAAATTGCGTAAGCGTAAGACAATCACAACGAAGCCAAGAACAGACATCCGTAGTTGCACCGTGCCGTTGCAATATCACAAGAGCCCGTTCCGGTTACGGCCAACTGTCAGAAACAAAGCGACACGGGCTCCCACTTCCACTAGCCATGGACCCATCACACACACCGGTCACTTGGACGTGGACCCTGCCGCACACTGCATTCCTGTATTTCTTCCCCCTACAGCTTTTCGCTATAAATCTGCCCGTCTTGCCATTTGTATACACTACAGAGCAGCTAGGGCCTGGTTTACTTCCTCCTCTAAAATTTACTTCCTTTCACGTCGGATGTTTGATACATATATGGAGTATTAAATATAGACTAAATAAATAATTAATTACATAGATTACGATTAATTTACGAGACGAATTTTTTAAACCTAATTAATCCACGATTTGACAATACGATGCTACATTAAATATGTGCTAATAATAAATTAATTAGGTTTAATAAATTTATTTAGCGAATTACTAATGGATTCTATAATTTATTTTTTATTAGCAATCGAACACCTAATGCGACGCCCGTAAGACACACCGGCGTGGATTTAACCACCGGTAGAGCAGCCAGGCGCCCAGGCCAAGCCAGCCGAGAGCACCTCCGCCTCTGACTGGGGCATTGGGGCTTGGGATTTCTCGAAGCCATAAAAGAGCGAGCCCCAAAAAGAAGCCTACCACGTACCACTCCACTACTACGCCTCCGAGAGCAGCCGCAGTACCACCATTCCAGTCAAGTCCAGTCCAGCCCAGCGAGGGGAAGAACAAGAAGCAGACAGGGGAGGAGGCGAGGAGCCAGAGCCAAGCCAAACCTCTGAACCCCCCCGGAAATGGCTTCCTCGCGCGCCCTCTCTCTCTTCCTCCTCTGCGCTCTGCTGCCCACGCCCCCCATCTCAGTCTCAGCCGCATTGCTGTTCAGCGGCGGCAAGTCGGCCGCGGCGGCCAAGCCGGGTCCGGGAGCCGACATGGAGTGGCGGCCGGCCACCGCGACGTGGTACGGCGAGGCCGAGGGCGACGGCAGCGACGGTGAGCACTCTCAACTCTGCTCCTCAGCTCCGTATCGCACTGGTCTTATCCTAGCGTTTTACGGGGGGCACAGTACACACTGGAGTAGTTGTATAGGATACGAGCAGAATACTTGAGGGAGTGCAGTGTACAACGATGCTGTCATTCTTAATTCATTCGCTGAGTTGATTATATTAGGATTCTTCAGCTGTTACTGCTATCACAGTGTAGTACAATTTCCTTTCTCGCGTCTAGAAGAAAATGATTTTGTGGTAGGCTAGTAGTGGTAGCACCGTATAGCAGTAAAAAAGGAGAGGAATAAATAATTCCTCCCGTTGCGACATTTTTTGGCGGGACCCCTGCGCATCCCACGAATCGCGGAGCGAATTTCGGTGGGCCCGGGCCGCGCCTGGGTGCCCCATCACTTTAGGATTCGTGCTGCCGCCAGCCCCGTCCTCTCCCGTCTCAGCACCCGGCGACCTTCCAACAGGCAACTGCTCCATGCAGTCCCCAGTCGGGTCTTCGGTACCGTTTGCTGAAATCTTGACGAATAAATGCAGCATTGCACTCTCTGAGCCTCTCTGGCCCGTCCATCGACACTGCGGGTAATCTCCATTCCACCAAATCAGTACCAGTAGAAGTTAATCCAACGGCGCACCAATACCCTGCTCGGTCGTTTACTGCTGGCATTTACGCCGTCCTGAGCAGTACGTCGTGCAGTGCATGACCTTCAGGCCCGTTCTTCGTGAAAAAACAAACTAAAACATTATTAGGGCTGATTTGTCGTGGGAGAAAGCTGAAAGAACAGATTTCTAGAGAAGCTAACGAGGCGTGAGGGCGTCCTGTTGACGCGTCTCGCAACTGAACAGAACAGTACCCACCTGTGAGCCCGTGACTTTTGTCCATCGCAATTCACACGCGGCCACAGCCCACAGGCTCTGTTCACGTCACCCTGCATTTCCATGCCCTGTCTCGGCTGTTCTGTCCCCTCCGTAATTTCTCTTGTTCTTTTTTTTTTCTAATTTATAAAACTGAAGAAGCTGTGAGTGAGGCTGTGATGATTTTACTATTCTGACGGCAGCAACGAATTTCAGGCGGCGCGTGCGGGTACGGGACGCTGGTGGACGTGGTGCCGATGAAGGCGCGGGTCGGGTCGGTGAGCCCCGTGCTGTTCAAGGACGGCGAGGGCTGCGGCGCCTGCTACAAGGTCAAGTGCCTGGACCGCGGCATCTGCTCCCGCCGCGCCGTCACGGTGATCGTCACGGACGAGTGCCCCGGCGGGCTCTGCGCCTTCGGCCGCACCCACTTCGACCTCAGCGGCGCCGCCTACAGCAGGATGGCCGTCGCGGGGGCCGGCGGCCGCCTGCGCGACCGGGGCCAGCTGAACGTCGTGTACAGGAGGTGAGCACCACTCGCAACTCCCAGTCTTGCTGTGAATGCTCGTCAGTTCAGAACCAACTGCTGCGTTGCATAGTAAGAGTACTGCAGGAACAGTAACAGTGTCTCGTAAATCGTGATGCTATGCTGAAAAATGGCCACTTGGCATCCGAAAACATCACTGGTGCTATGATTGCCTCTGTAGGAGTAGTACTAGTACTATGATCCTGATTCCTGCGGGGGTAGTGAATTCAATTGTCCAGGGTTAAATGGGAGGGAATGCAGCCCAGCTGTCCGTCAGTCTGAGACCTGCTGCTGGGGTTAAACATGCCGCTGCCTGAAGTAACTCCGTCAGAGTCGCATCTGATTCTGAACACTTGTAAACACCTCCTGATCAATCTCTGCAGGGGAGGGGTTAGTAGGCCTTGTTTAGATTGGGGTTAGAAATCAGTATTTGTCGTTTGTATTTGACAATTATTGTTCAATCATGTCTAACTAGGCTCAAAAGATTCGTCTCGTAATTTACAATCAAACTATGTAATTAGTTATTTTTTTATCTACATTTAATACTTCATACATGTGTCCAAAGATTTAATGTGATAGAGAAAGTGAAAAAACTTGCAATCTAAACAAGGCCCTACCAGATATTGCAGCAGATGTCAATACTAGCCCAAAAAGAAAACCCGATTAATTCAACTGGCACTGGCAGTTTTAGATTCCCTGTTTCGTTTTGTTTCTGAAACTGACCGGTGCAGTGTCGTTTGCCTGTATGCATACACGGATACCAGGACGGCCTGCAAGTATGGCGGGAAGAACATAGCATTCCGCGTGAACGAGGGCTCGACTAATTTCTGGCTCTCTCTGCTCGTCGAGTTCGAGGACGGCGAAGGCGACATCGGATCCATGCAGATAAAGCAGGTAACGGACGATTCTTTCTATGAATAATTATTTTAAATTGCAGTAATGAGGATTTCAACTCGAGACATACGATTCTGACACCATATTAAATTGACCAATTTAATCCAAAAGCTTAAGACTAGCCACAGTGTACCGTGGCTTCAAATGTCAAATCATAGCCGATGCTTCAACTTTCATTTATGCCACAGTGTACCGGTGCCTCAAATAACTAAACAAACAATAGTTTATTCTCTCCCCTCATAACTCTTGTCAGATCTTTATATCACTTACATGTGGGACCATATATTCCTTTTCAAAGCAAGCACCGGTGAACCTACTTTCCTCGGTGCCAAAGTTTTCGCTGCTTGAATTTACTCCTGCAGTGTGCAAGCACCGATGCTTGGATGAAAAATGGGTTTCAGGCATCGGTATTTCACCACACTGTGGGTAGTCTAATGTGATAGGGTCATAGAGAAGACGGTCAATTCATTTTATATTTTAGCAGTAAAATACATTTTTCGCCCTCCCAGTCACATTGATTTTCAACCTTAACCATGAAATCGGGTAACAAGCACCTTCTAACTGTTGAAAACGGTGGTTCTATGTTCTATAAAAATAATAAAAATATGGTTTGACCTTAAGAAGCTCATAACTAATTTATTTTAAATGAGAAAAATATGAAACTAGTACTGTTTTTCTAAAAATGTTATCTACATGTAAAACAACAACAGTTAAATAACACTTTTAGAATAGTAGAAAGTAGTTTCATTTTTTCTTAAAAGAAATTAATTATGAATTTCTACTGATTAAACCACATATTTATTGATTTTAGAAACCAAACATAGGAACAAATTTGACTAGTTTCAACAGTTGGAGGGTTGAAAATCGAACTGATATACGATTTAGGTTAGAAAAATATACTTTACCCTGTATTTTGACACATCGTAGAGTAGTGGCACGCACCAAAGTGATCGGTAGGGGGGGAAAAGGACTATTCCGTGTCCTTGGGCCATGTAGATGCACCACCGACCAAAGAGAGGGCCACAGCCCATAGGGCCTTGCCTTGCCTTGCCTTAACCCTAGCATGTTGGAGACATAAGACGTGCGTGCTCCAGTGTTGCTTGCTTTCAGTACTCCAACGGGTTCGACTTCTTTTTTCAGCCGGAACAGTATTTTTTTCTCACAATAATTCAGCCGTAACAGTATTTTTTAGTTAGTTTCAGCCAAAATTTAGCCAGCCGAACGGGGGATGCCAGTTGCCGCTCTCATTTGGCTTCTATCCTGTCCTGTCTGGTAGATCGAATCGATCTGAAGAGGTGAGAGGCTGGCCAAAAGACCTGGCAGCTAAAAATCTCTTCACGTTGTTTAGTGTTTACCCATTCTATATTTCTACTCGTACTCAAGGTCACACGAAGGAAAGGCAGCACCTTATCTGGAATAGGGAAATCCAGCCACGCATGCCCAGGCAACAAGGCGCGCTAGTGCTGCTACTTTCTCGCGCTGTCTACCACACAAGCCCTAGTCAAAGCTTTGCATAAACCTAAATAGTTTAAGACATACGACATGATCTTCTTTGCCGAATGATTCCCGTTCTGAATGTGTTGGAAAAGCAGCACGTGAGCCCCTGGCTGGTCATGGTGCTGTTGCTCCATCGAGGACTCATCTCAGTCGCCTTTCCCCCCTGAAATCAACTGCTCTGTGCCGGCCGCCCATGATGTTGCTTCCATCAGCTCGGTCTAAGACGACCATGAAGCTGAAACTAAAGAAACCCAACAAAGGTCTCACGCCTGCCTGCTTTTGCGTTGCACTAGTGAGTGCTTTCACGGTGGCCGTTAAGTCCGACAGCCATCCACGCCCTGTGGCACGCCTGTGGCTGAGTCGTCTGTCGTCCTGGCCTTTGTTGGGCTGGGGAATCCAAAGATGCCAAGGAATCCCATGCGACTTTGGTCCGCTGGCTTTATTTTGTTGCCTTTGTAAAAGTTTCAAACTGCGCTTTGCCTGGTGGTAGTGGCCGGGTTTTAACTAACAGTAACAACAGCTGTTCACTGCTCTTGCTTACAATAATTCACCTTGTTGCTTGCCGATGCCAACCATTGGCAATCGCTGCTGTCCTATGCTGTGTTGCAGGCCAACTCGGTGGAGTGGCTGGACATGAGGCACGTGTGGGGGGCCACGTGGTGCCTGGTGCGGGGCCCGCTCGTGGGGCCCTTCTCCGTGAGGCTGACCACGCTGTCCGCCCGGAAGACGCTCACGGCCCGCGATGTCATCCCCAGGAACTGGACGCCCAAGGCCACCTACACCTCGCGCCTCAACTTCCAGCCGTCTCTCTAGGGAGGAGCCGGAGACTGCCGGAGGGAGCGCGGCGACCGGGGGCCCACGTTTTATCGGCCCCGGACTCTGCCTCGTGGGCCCGCAAAGGCTGGTGGCCCGCTTGGCAGGCAGCCAGGCAGGAGGAATCCAGACTTTTGTTTTTTCCTGTATGCAGGCAGCTTGGTTTTATATGATTTTATTTATATCGTAGCGTAGCTAGTGTGACGTGATTCATGGCCATCATAGTAGGCATCGGACATGCGTGATGGCTGATGAGTTGAGTCCGGGAGCGGGCCCAGAGTGCCCAGGTACAGGCAGCCGCCGTCCCAAAAAAAGGAGAGAGCGTTCGCTGCTTGCTCTCGGCTCCAGCTCCAGGCCTCCAGCCCTTGGAGGCTCGGAATCCGATGTGGAAGCTGGTTGGGCCGTGAGGGTTTTGGATCCCTCGTGGTGTCTGCTTCTGTTTCGCTCGTGTGTGGCTGTGTTTTTGGCGTCGATGTGTTTCTGTCTTGTGTTTGCCCCTGGTTGAATCTGAATGCAGGGTTCGTGACAAAAAAAGTTGTCAGGATGTTATCTGTGCACAATGAGGAATGCGTCTGGTGCAGAGAATGACCCTGTGCTTTCCATGTGAGTGTCAGATTGTTGGCGTGTCCATCACCTTGTTGTCTTGTCGGTAAAAGACGGTTTCAACCGTTTGGGCTGCTTGGCATGGCTGAAAATAATCAGCGTGTTCGGCTGTACTGCTTCTCGCTTGTTTTAGTTTGTTTCAGCTTATTCTCTTTCATATAATACTATTCAACCATCCAAAATAATCCAAAATTCACTATTCCACCCACCAGCCAAACAAGCTAACATTGCACTTTGAATTTAGTGAGAGAAAAATACTTATTTATTGGATGATAAAGCCGTCTAATTAGACTTAAAGATTCGTCTCGTGATTCTCTAATAAATTGAATATTTTTTATTTATATTTAATGCTTCATGCATCGTCCAATGTGCTAGGACTAGGAATATTCAAGTAGCAAATGCATGAAGCTGAAATGAGATGTACACTTGTGCTCAGAAAAGGAAAGAAAAAAAGAGAGGAACACTCGTGGCAAAATTTGTAGTGAAGATGGAAACTGATCACAAAACACATACTTTGAACCCTTGAAAGATTTTAAAACTCAGCATATATATCCATAATGTGTTTAGATATGCACATTTTTTTAGCAAAAATTGAGATGCAAACTCGTTTATGATTTTTATTTTTGAAAATGACTTTGCTTCCTAACTTTTGCACAAGCGGCGTATATGGAAAAACTATGGATGTGCTGAGTTTTAAATTTTCTTCGAGAGATTATGATCTTTTTCATATTTCCCACTAGGGTATGATTTCCTCAAAATAATTTTCCCGCTGCGCAGCTGGTCACAGGTGACTCAGCACAACGATGTGATATGACCAACGATAATGCTTGTTGTAAGCCTCCGGACGGACGGACGGACCGCTCCGCGCACCCCGCCCGTTCGTGTCGTTGCTCGCTCCACGCGTCTAGCGCTCTGTCCTCCCGTACAGTTGCTTGCTCCCGCACACCGTGGCCGTGTCGCAGGGCTGCCTCCACCGCGTCAGTTCACCACGCGCCCGTGTTATGTAGCGCTAAAAACATGTTTTTGCAAACGTACGTTCCAAGTGTTTCACGTCTTTTAGAAGTATGTTTCAATTGTTTTGTATGGATGTTGCAAAGATAGATCCGGATATTGCACATGTTGCAATGGCTATATACGTATGGTGCAAGAGTTTGTTTAAAATATTTCATCTTTTTCAGATGTATATTGCAAGTATTATAACTGGATGTTGCTTTTGTTTCAATGGCTATGTTGCAAATGTATGTTCCAAATGTATGTTTCATCAGTTTTCAGACGTATATTGTCAATTGTTTTCGTCTGAGTGTTGCAAAAGTAGATTTAGATGTAGGGTGGTCGAGCGAGAAAGAGATAGCTAGCACTGGAGTTGGCGGCATCGAGTCGGTAGGTTGGCGGCAGTGCTCCACCGGAGGATGCGTAGGGTCACGTCCACACTGTCATATGCGGCTCTGGAGTGGGTCCTCATCGCGCTGCTCCTGAATCAACGGTTGCTCGCCTACACCATCACTAGGTTCGTGGACTAGTTTGGGCTCAGACCCGTGCGCGGGCGAGGGAGCTTAGTCAAGCGTGGGCGCGAAAGCTCTGTCTAGATGGACACCACGTCTGGAGTGGGGATGGTCATGGGGATGGTCGTGGGCATGGGCGCTACGTTGAGCGCGGGCACCGTGTCTGGTGCATGCGCTGGATCCGCGCCTGAACGGATGCCGCATCCGGATGTTTGAACCTATGACCAATGGATCTTGTTTTTTGCGATTACACAAGTACAGACACAGACGCTCAACACGCACGCACACTCACTTCTATAGACACACGTACGTACAAACCCTACTCCTATGAGCACCTCTAAAAGACTATGCCGGCACATCTCAAGATTGAAGAAGTCTCAAATCAAATTCTCAAAAGTCGCTCAATTGTTTACCATTTGGTGTCCTGAAAAGTTAAAATAGGTCGGTCCACGAGGCCCGTGGCTGGGGCAGTTTTCCTTTCTTCCTAGGCCTCACATGGCCTTCAGGCCCAAACTATTCCTGGCCCATGGCCATCGCCTTCAATGACATGTTGACCCCACAGTGCCAGCTCCGCGTCACGTTCTCCCCCAGCGAGGGCACGTTCATGCTCGTCGTCACCTCCGGATTCCCCGAAATAGACGAACTCTCCCACCCCCTCCGCCGCTGCACGCCTCCACGCCCACCCATAGCCGGTAGATACTTTCATCAAAGATAGCACACAGGATCGCGCCGCCCGCGTGAAAAGGAGGCGACGAATCCACCTACCCGCATTCGGGCGCCAGCGGCCAGCTCCACCCCGTGCCATCTCCACTGCGTCCGCGAGCCACCGCCATTCGCGGGGCCAGAGGGAGGGAGGGGAGCAATGGGCGCGGGGATGGAGGCGGAGGAAGGGGTGATGGCAACGGACTTCTTCTGGTCGTACACGGACGAGCCGCACGCGTCGCGCCGCCGGGAGATCCTGGCCAAGTACCCGCAGATCAAGGAGCTCTTCGGCCCGGATCCGTGGGCCTTCCTCAAGGTGCCGTGATCTGCTTCCTTTACGCTCTGCTCTTTGCATCTGTTTTTTCTTTCTTTCTTTCTTTCCTTCTTGTGCGCTTCTGTGTGTGCAATGAGGAATATAGGATCGAGGATTTGAGCTCACCTGAAAGTATGATTCACGCTGTTTCCTTTTACGATGTTTGGCGTTTGCTGAACAGATGCAAGTCGGTTTGGATCCATTAAAGTTGGGTAGCCCTAAAGTTACTACGCATATCTGAATTCAGAATTGGTGTGCTGTTTGTTACGGTTTCAGTGCGAGGTTAGTTTGGCATTGTGCAGGTTATGGTGTTTACGGTACATTGCTAGAGGTATTCTCTGGAACCACCACTATGACGAAGTGATTGTAGATATGCTTTTCTTTGTTAGGAAGACTGCAGGCACAATTCTTTGGACTTTCACATTTTCTTCTGTTACTTGCTTGTTTTGTAATTTTGTTTGCCTTGTCTTCGACTAACTGGTTAGTATTCCTTATGTCACTGCAAATTTGATGTGCCTGCAAACTGCTAACTGTTAAGATTGGGTTTTATGGTGCAAACAAGATGAAGTAGTAACCAAAGAATACGGTCAAATCATCTTTTGAATTGTTTCCCATAATGAGCCTAATGGCATATGGCTAGGTGGCATAAGCTGCCGACTTTATTGTGCCCTGCTGAACCTTTCTTGTTGGCCCTGAATCAGTTCCAGCTGTAACTCTAAGCCTGAAAGGGTTCCTGAAATGGCAGTTGCTTCTTCTTATTGGCTACCGGCACTTCCTTTCAAGACATGCATTAAACCTTCCTGGTTGTTTCAAGATTATAACTTCAGGAGTGATTAAGAATTGATAAAGATTCATTCTCCTAAGCCCTAACTAGTTACTGCTACTTACTTGAATGGTAGGCAAATCCCACCAACTTTGGCCATGACATATCTTGCTTCTGATCATACTGCACCCTCAGTTTCGTATGACAAATTTAGGACAGTAATTTCAAATCAACCACAAGATGCAAACATATCTTTGGTACCCTCTATCATGGTGAGATTGTGGGAAGAACCATAGGAATTAAGAACTGCATGAAGAAAAAGTGTTTTTCATTTCCTATTGAGGTCATTAATGAGGAATGTAAATCAACTAAGACTTTAATACCAATATGTGAGAACATTATCAAAAGATGAATGACTTGAATATGGCATGAATCTGTAAGCACATTGACACATCCTTACTGAATTACTATTCCCGGCACCATTTTCTGTGCAATCATTTGAATCAGAGTATCTTGTTGTCAGTCCTTGCTGAATTTTGGCTTCATGTGCAAAGGTGGTGTCATATCCCTTTCACCACCAACTATTTCGTTGGCCTTTTAACTTTGGCTGGGCAAGCTGGCAAGGCACATCTCATACCCCTTGTAAGAAAAAATCGTAAGGGCTGCTGCCATCCTGTCCATAAGCTGAATTTTCTTTTTGGAGCAATAAGTTGTACTCCTATTTGCACTGATATGTTCTGTTGTATCTGCTGAAGTTATTTGTGCATACCTTTGTGACATGGTCGATATGGTCCGAATTCCCAATTTAAGCATAAAATCTTCTTCTGCCAATTTCATTATTAAGATATTACAGCCAGAAACCCTCACTTCTCATATCAAGTTTTAACTGCGACATGCTTTGATGGTTATTTCAACTGTTTTTTGCAGATTGCTTTGGTTGTGTTGCTTCAGCTATGGACTGCTACATTCCTCCGCGATGCCAGCTGGTTGAAGCTACTGACGGTGGCCTACTTCTTTGGCTCCTTCCTAAACCACAACCTGTTCCTTGCTATCCATGAGCTGAGCCACAACCTTGCCTTCACAACCCCATCCCTCAATCGCTGGCTGGGCATCTTCGCAAACCTCCCCATCGGCGTCCCCATGTCCATAACGTTCCAAAAGTACCACCTGGAGCACCACCGGTTCCAGGGCGTGGACGGCATCGACATGGACATCCCGAGCCAAGTGGAGGCACATGCCGTGAGGAACGCCGTCAGCAAGTCCATATGGGTCGTGCTCCAGCTCTTCTTCTATGCGCTGCGGCCGGTCTTCCTGAAGCCGAAGCCCCCTGGCCTGTGGGAGTTCACCAACCTGGCCGTCCAGGCCGGTCTCGACGCCGGCCTCGTCTGGCTGTGCGGCTGGAAGTCGCTCGCGTACCTGATCCTCTCCACGTTCGTCGGGGGCGGCATGCACCCCATGGCGGGCCACTTCATCACGGAGCGCTACGTGTTCAGCCCGGAGCAGGAGACGTACTCGTACTACGGGCCCCTGAACCTGATGGCGTGGCACGTCGGGTACCACAACGAGCACCACGACTTTCCCAGGATCCCCGGCACCAGGCTGCACAGGGTGAAGGAGATCGCGCCGGAGCACTACGACAGCCTCAAGTCGTACAGGTCCTGGAGCCAGGTCATATACATGTACATCATGGACCAGACGGTCGGCCCTTTCAGCCGGATCAAGAGGAAGGCGTCCAAGAAAGACTCGTAGTTGTAGCCTCGTAGGATCAATTTTGTTTGTCACGTATTATGAACTCCTGGAGATGATGCCTATGTTTGGTGCAAGCATTTCGAATCGTTGGAATAGCCTGTTACTTGATATATCAATATATAGCTCGTTTCGCGACCTGTTACTTGATATCAATAGCTCGTTTCGCGACTGATTTTTCATGTGCCAGATGTATCTATGAAGCTGTTTCCGTTTGGTAATGTTGCATCAATCTGATTCATCGTGAGCTAACCCGATCCATCCGCGAGGGGAAAAAAAACCAGTCTCGGCGGTGCGCCGAGCGGGCCCACGACGCCGGGAGCCCAAGAAAACGACGCTGTGTGCCGTCGCCGCCGATGGAGTTTTTTCGTGCTGATGAATCCACCCAACCCAGCACGAGCGCGTTCACACCCAGAGGTCGTTCCAGTTCCAGGTTGTTATTACTTCTCTGATGATCAAACATAAAAACCAGCACCGGCCAATAGGAATCTCACCTTAACCAATGTTTCGGTTGGGAAAATGGATTCTTTGCCCAGGCTTAAACCTAACCACACGGATCCGCCGAAAGTCTCACAGGACCAGCGTACCGCTTCCTTGCATCTTAAAGAAGAAGAAGCAGCATCGACCGCTGCCTTTTTTCTTTCCAGAAGAAGCTTTTTCTCGTAACAAACAGAACCTAGAAGAAGGTTAGAAAGGACAATTGGGGCAATTAGCACGAACCGACAAACGGCCCCCATAAGGTCCAGGCATGCGTCAGACCCACATGTCAGTCACATGTACCTCAGGACACTCACTCGATGGCTAGGCAATTCTACAGACTGTTTCGCATCGCACCCTCCAATCGCGTGATTCAAACGTCAACCGACGCCCTTGACCGTTCCGTCGAACGCCGACGCGGCCGCACAACTCATTTCCAGAGCTTTACAGATCAGCCCCGACTTCACGACCACACCCGCACAGCGCACACCGCACTGGGCTACCTTTTATATAGTCTCCTCCTCCCCGTCGCCATCTCCCTGTGCGATCCAAACGCGCGACGAGTCAGCGACGCCGCCGCCTTTCATTTTTTCCTTCTCACCCATCTTTCTCCACGAGAGCGCGAGCGGAGCGGAGGGCAACGAAGGAGTCGAGGAGATGGGCGGGTTCGATCAGCAGGTGAAGGAGCGGACCAAGGAGCTGAAGCACCTCAAGACCGCGGCGATGAAGGGCATCAAAGCGGCCGGCGAGTCGTGCAAGAAGGCGTGGAGCAAGGTCAGGAGCAGCATCAAGCGCTAGGCCTAGGCGTCCGCGTCCGTATGGGATGGGATTTCTGCGTGGTTTTCTGAGTTGTGGTAGATTGCGCTTTTTTGGTTTTTGTTGGATCTATTTATTTATTCGAAGGGCGGGCTAAGCTGCAGAGTCTTACCGTCATCGGAAGGTCTCGGATTCGAGTCCTGGTATTGCACAGGCATGAGTAAGGTTTGCCACTGACATTTTTCTCTAGCCGTATAGAGTGGGAGCTCTCTGGGTGCGTTTTTTTTTTTGTTGGATCTATTTATTTGAGCAACTTGAATACATGATGTGTGAAGATCGTCTGTATGTGCATGCATAGTATTTTACTTCTGTTCGTTCGTTGTGATCCTCTTCATGCTTTTCTTCCGGTGGCGAATTCAGTTGTTATATAGCAGATAGATCTTTGGCTGCGTGTGCCAACGAACTCTCGAGTCTGGATGTTCATCGCACACCGAAAAAATTTGCAGAGAGTTTCTACATCTTGGTAAAAGCAACATAGGGTCCGCATCATCTTATCATCGTTGAACCTACCTTGATTCCTGCTTCCTGACCTTATCAACGCCCTGAAATCAGGATGTCCATCTATATCACCGATTACCGCTGATTGTTAGTTGTTAGCCTGCTTCCTAACCGGTAACGCTGAAACAATCGGCACTAATAAATTTTTTTTCAAAATATACTTATTGATAAAAGAATCTGAACACTGATCTGTCGCAACTCACGAATGATTGCAACCACCGGTTACTTATATCAAGAGAACACAAAAACACGTATCGATCAGGTGCTTAGGTGTCCAAAGTTCAGACCATGATATTGATTTTTTTTTAACATACTGATACGATCAAGCGAATATTGAAATTAGGGACACAGGAAGGATGATGGAACGTTTCGAACGCAAGAAGTTTACAGAACGATTTGATTGCCTCGTGGCTCAAGAAAAAAAAAATATGTCAGTCCACAACTCCAGATGGATCCTGATTCATCATGCTGACACCTGCTACCGTTTCTGTATGTGGGCCGTGCACAACGACAACGCTGGAGACGGCCGGTCGGGCAGGTCCAAAAATAATGCAACAGAAGAGCACACTGCATGTGAATGTGTGATGAATGACGAAGGTAGTTGGAACATGGGAAACAAACTTTGTAACTGGAATTCAAAATTCTGCCGATACAATACACAATAGTAGCATCTGACACACTATGTAAAAAAATAACTTTGTAGTAGCTGACAGCAGTTCAACATGCTAAGGTATGTTCGTCGTCCTACAGTGTTCAGGAAAGCCAAGGAACAACTGCAGCGAATTGGGCTATCCACCAGCCGATTACTGCAAAGGAGCATCAGGATCCAATCTTTTCTGGATTGCAGCTGCAGCCTGATATCGGGGAAATGATTGATTTAAGTCAGAGGAGTGTGTGTTGAACCATCAACTTCTAACTGAAAAGGCTTGCAAAGTTTAGGAAGAGCGAACCTACCTGAAAATTGCCCAACCTGTATTGGTAGTTCATTTCTTCGCGTAGACGGGCCTGCTCCTTCATGTCTTGAGCCTAAGAATGAGCAAAACACAGAAGACAGACACAGCTTAGATGACAGAAAGAAACAAGTTCTGCTTTCAATTACCATGCCATGGCTTATTCCTTCCACAGTGTATACACAAAAAAAACCCTGCTAGGGATATTATCTAAGAAAATCTAGAGATAGATAAATAATGCATATTATATTTACTAGAACATGTATTAGGACTATTACCCAAAAAAAACAAGGACTGAATATGAAAACGAAAATAAACTTGTGCTACCATGGACTCAAGTATTCCAACATAAGGTCCAAAGCACTACTTGCCACTACATTTATTTCAGGTAAATGGACATATATATGAGACTGATACAATAGAAGATATTAAAATGTACATTTGTACGATTGGGCCACCTGTGAAATCAAACTTGGTGGCACAAAATGACACAAGTAATAGATGTCAACTACAAAGTCTTCGTATGCATATTCAATGAAAGGGCTGTTATGTGCTGACTAGTAAATCTATCACTTCGAACACATTGCGCATTCCATGTCCGTTGCATACTGCTTCCCATGATGTGCTATGCTCTTTGGCCAAATATATGCATGGCACTAGAAAAACTATATATAGGCTATATCCACTTAATACTGGGCCACGATCTTAAAACTACTAATAGAAGAAAAAAAAACTTTCAGCAAGGGCAGAAAACATAATTCATGAGCATTCTAGAATTTATATGATGACTAGAAGATAAATCAGAACTGCCAAAAGAAACAAAAAAATAATCTAACCAGTCCAGCTTGCATAGAGCGTTTTAAAGCTTCCACTTCTTCCTCCTTTCGTCGTTCACGCTCCTTCAACAATTCTAATCTGCATGATTTTTTCAAATAAAAAATGTAAAAAGGAACTACTCAATCCAAGAGTTTCATAATACTCCCTACATAGAACATGCAAAAGGTTAGTGTAAAGATAATAGCCCACAAACCATAAACTGATAGCTCTAGAAAAGACACTAACAACATTATTGATGACCCATGTTTTAAGAAAAGTATATGGACAGTATTGTGGAAACCAACAAATGTTTTTTTCAGAACAATTTCATTTTTACGTACCTTCGCTGTTCCTCATCATTAAATACTGTACGTTCTGTCACAGACATCTTTAAACCCTTCTTTTTCTCTTTCTCCATTGCTTTGCGATGATAAGCATCTAAATTATAATATCTGAAAGAGAACATAAGGAGTGAAATCATGAATCCTTTTCCTGAACTGTCATCTAATAAAAGTTATTATACCCAAAACACAAGAGCCATTACTTTTTTGACGGGAAAGTGGCTGTATTGTGATCCTCCATGAATCTGAGATACAGACACACCTTGGAACATCAATGATACAGTAGCTATTTCTTTTCTTAGTTCACGACAAGGTCTGCAATTATTGAAGCGATTTCATGACAGTAGAGTAGCTTACTCCTTGAACATTTGCTTCTCTTCCCAATTTGACAATGCCTCCAAATTAACCTGGGTTCACATTAACAAAAAAAAAAAAAAAAAAAAACTAAATTGAACAATGCCGTGGATCCACATAGACCTCTGCCTCCCTCACTGCGCATCAACAAATCAACACATACAGAATAACAGAAAGAAATATACCTGCTTGACTTCTGATAGCCATGCAGTGAACTCTGGTCGCTTGCTCCTACAAAACACATTGCACAGTTAATTCAAAGAAATGTAGTAGAAATAACATTAGTACTTCATATGATTAATTAATTAGAGTCCAAACCCATCTCATTTAGTGAAAGATACTACATGATGCTGGCTGGAACGTTGGGTTAAGCTAGCAAAGTCTCATACAACATGCCCTCAGTATTAGTATAGTATTGCTAAGTGAACTAAATGGTGAAGCATAAGTATACTTTTCTAAGTGTATCATAATATGAACTTTAAAAGGTGAGCTTGCAGACTTTGCTTCAAAGCTAGTAGCCTAGTAGTAGAATAGGAGTACCAGACTATCATTCCAGTGATAAGGCTACTGTTTCATGCATTCCAATCCAATCTAAGATATTCCGATTGAATTATATTTCATCTTTGCTTTCAGTAAGCTACAGGAATTGGAGATGTCATTTCCGCATTTCAGATTGAATTATATCTCGTAGCACAACAATAACAAATAACAACTGAAAAACTCAAGCAATTCATGTCTTATGCCAAACCCTGAAACTAGGAATGAAGCTACTCACCACATATCGACCTCACGGATGATGCCATATTTCCCCCACGAGTTGGTCACTGCGCCCTTCTTCCCCAAATTCTTCTTCTCCTCCTTCCTCTTCTTCTTCTCCTTCCTCCTCCTCTCCTTCTCCTTTTCCTTCTCCTTCCTCTTCCTCCTCTCCTTCTCCTTCTCCTTCTTCCTTCGTCTCCTCTCCTCCTCCCTCTCCTTCCTCCTCTTGCGCCGCCGCCGCCGCCTCTCCTCCTCCGAATCCAACTCCGACTCGCTCTCAGACTCCACGCTGGACCCCGAGTACGACGACTCGGACTCCGACTCTGACGACGAGCCCGAGCTCTCGCTGCGGCTGCGGCGCCGGCGCCGGCGCTCTTTCACCTTTCTACGCCGTTTCCGTCGCTCGCCGGAGTCATCTCCGGAGCTCTCGCTCTCCTCCTCCTCCCGCCGCTTCAACTTGCCGCGGTGATCCCGGTCCCCGCTCCCATTTGAGCGGTCGTTACATTCGGCGTCTAGCGACTTGCTGCCGCTGCGCGCCGCCTCGTCCTCCTCGGCGCCTCGACCATCACGGGGCGACCCAGAGGCAGCCATGGCGTCGCGAACCTAGGGTTTCGCGACGCGGAGGCGAGATGGCAAGTGAGAGACACAGATCGGCTCGCGACGGTGCCGCAACTGGTGTCCGCCTGGGGACGAACCGACGAACTCACGAAGTGGCCTACGCCTGGACGGGCTTGACGAGGCTACAGGTGGCGGGCCACGGCTCACGGCGTCGGCCTGGCAGGGAAGGATGAGCTGATAAGGCCTACAGGCCCATGTAATAGCATTTTTTAGCTAAAAGTCCATATTACCTCCTTTAACTTTTACAAAAATTTATTTTTCCTCCCTAAACTCTTTCGTTTTACCATCCGGACGGGTTAAAAGCAGTTTTCAAAGACGGTTTTATCTTTTCCTTTTTTATTTATTTCGGTTGAATCTTTGAAAAATCATAGTAAATCACAGAAAAATTATAAAATAATAAACCTAATTTTTGTGGACTCTATATGAGTAGATTTACACAATGAACATATAATATTGTATACTTTAGTACAAAGTTTTACTGTAGCTTTATATTTATACTTTTCTATAATTAATTCATAACTGCAATTTCTATGGTCCAATTATGGTGAAATTTTTTATAATAGGTTAATTATTGTATGTTTGAACTGTAGTAAAAATTTTATAATCATGTACAACTTATTTATATATTTATAAATACTTTTTAACAAACATACACCTAAATAAATCTATAACTAAGTTATACGTGATCCAATGAGTATGAAATTTTAACTACAATTGAAGCATACAATAATTAGCCCACCATAAATTTTTACCATAATTAGACCATCGAAACTGCAACTATGAATTAATTATAGAAAAACATAAATGTAAAGGTACAGTAAAAAAGTATTAAAGCATATCATATTATATGTTCACTTTGTAGATCTACTCATGTGGAGTCCAACAAAATTGAATTTTTCATTTTTATGGGTTTTCTGTGATTTACTGTGGTTTTCCAAAAATTCAACCGAAATAAATAAAAAAAAGACAAAATCGTCTTTGAAAACCGCTTATAATCGATCAGGGAGGTAAAACGAACGGTTTTAAAAGTTCAGAAAGGTGGTTTACCTTGTATTGGTGCGAAGTGACCAACAAGTAAATATTTTTAGTTTTGTCGTGCGTTGTGATTAGATGTGGCCTATCACTCAATGACACAGGGTTTATATTGGTTCAGGCAACGTGCCTTACGTCCAGTTCCAGTTGGTTGGTGACTTTATTCCTGAGCCCAGGTGCTCGAAGTTTGTTGTGGGGTTACAAACGAGTGAGAATAAGAAGGAGGGTGTTAAATGTCCGGTCGGACTCTGGACCGAAGGGCCAAGAGTGATGGGAGCTCCTACGTGTACTAAGTATTAGAACGTATGCTCTATGTAGCTTTTGAGTTCTAGAGCCGTAGAGCTATTTGAGTGCTCAGAATATCTAAAGCCTAGCAGAGAGAGAGTCGGAATGACCGTCCTCTGTTGGGAGGGAGCACATCCCCTTTTATAGGTGAAGGAGATGGCCTTACAAGTGTGAGAGAGAGAAAGAGTGTGCTCATATTTTACTAAGTCTTGTTGTCCACGTTGTCGGATACAAGACGGTCGTCAGCACCCACAATACTATTTATGTCAGACGCGTGTGGCAAGCTTTACCGTATTCGCCTGGTATGGTAAATGCCGGCGCCCACAACACTGTAAGGCAAATGCCGACGTCCACAACACTGTTTGGGTTCTGACATGCCTGAAAGGTTGCAAAGCACCCTTCTAGTATGGCCTGGCGGTACTGTCCTGCAGGTGCGCAGGGTACGGTCCTCGGTATTGCGGTTGACTTGAGCGCCTTGCCTTATCTGCTCCGCTTGATTCTTGGGTCCTCACCGAGCGGGCGTCCCCGGTCGGTCGTTCCCAGACGGCTTCGACCACGTCGGTCGGAGAAGAGCTGAAAGCAGAGGTTCGGTGTATTCCCGGTCGGAAAAGCAGGTCAGAGTCGGAAGCAAGTGTTGTCCCCTACTTGGCCAGGCCTTACGGTCGGAGACTAGATCGCTCTTCCGACCTATCGTTAGGTATCTGGGTCGGCTGAAAGGTCCTTGTGTGGTTTTGATAATTAAGTGACAATCTAGGTGGACTAATTGTGTTTATGTGAGATACACAAGTGATTAGTCCACAGGTACATGTGTGTGAGCAACATATGCCATGAAGGTGGAAATGACTCAGAGATGTTGCAAATCTCACACATGTGATGACGAAGGAGCTCATTGCACATGAGACATGACATTGAGTCATGTGATCAAGGTAGAGAAGATCAAGACAAGACTTGGTTTGATGGACCGGTTGGAAGAGTGAAGGGCAAGTTGGAGGCTTTGGAGCGATGGACCGCGTGACGGTGAAGCTTGAGCAAGACTTGGCGCCGATGGATGAAGGCAACGGCAAAACTGGACTTGGAAGCTTAGGCAAATCAACTTAGTTCAAGTCAATCATAGAAGCTCATGATAGTGATAAGAGTACAAGCACAAGACAACATTGCAAATGGATATTGAGTTTGTTTGTTTCAAGTGGTATCTAGACTCAAGTATTTCATCAAGAATCCACAAGTGATGTCTAAATCAACTCACAAGTGATATCCTATAAGTGGTACTCATGAAGATAGCAAATATTCAAGAAATGGTCAAAATTGACAAATCCAGCAAGTGGTTTCATACTAGAAAATTCTTTCAAGTGGTATCACATCTACACGTGGTATCAATCGTGCAAGACGATGGTTCCACAAGTGATCCTCAACCTTAAATGGTCATCAAATGAAGAATGCATCCCTCATCTACAATACCTCAAGTGTATCAAATGGATGACCTATGATATCACATAGTGGGGAGGTGTCAAACAAAAATGACTTAGGGGGAGGTTTCCCACCAATTGGTATCAAGATCAAAGATCCTATGTGTGGTATCTCAATAAGCCCTACAAATGGTACCTACAAGTTACAAGAGGTATCATGGCAATTCAAATGGTATCTACAAGTGGTGTCATTCCAACAATCAAGTGATGTCCATAAAAAATGCAAGATTCAAGCCTCAAACATCTACCCCAAATGCAAACCTTTGCATCAATAAGAAGCACACATTTTATGGAAATTAATGACAAAGGGGAAGAGATTGTACAAAGATATGAAAGCTTTGGAAAGAGATTAAGACAAAGAAGTAGAGGTTAGACATGGACATGGACAAAGAGGGAGCAACATTGAAGAAAAGAGATGGATTAAAATTATTGGACAAGAGAAGCACACAAGTAGGGGGAGCAAACTCATGAACTTTGATTGGTTGCATTTGATATGGGCATAGTCATGTGCTTGCTTGCATTGCATAAAGCTTTTAAATTCAATATGCATGCTTGTGTGGTGTATGCTAGTTGTATAATTTGATTGATGAAATGAAAACTAGCATGCATAAGATGATAGCTAGACACTTAGCATGTCTTTCAAATAATGATAGTACCTTGCTTTTAATGATGATCTCATGAGGTATCTAGTGCTTTTGTTTCCAAGTGATATCTAGCTAACCATGGTGCTAAGGATGAACTTAAAGGTGCAACTCCAATTGGTATCATGCTTCAAAGATTTACTCTATACACCTTAGCATCATTTGGTAGTAATTACTCTCCCACAATTCCAATCTATACATATGTGTGAGCTTCAAATCAAACACTCTATCACATATGTAGGGGGAGCTAATACTACTATTTTGGGTTTGTGGTACTTGTCCAAAATCATTTACACATGGTAAAATTGCTTGGGCAAGTAACATGAATCCAAAAAGAGTTAATTTCCATATCTTTGTAGAGTTGTCATCAATTACCAAAAAGGGGGAGATTGAAAGGTCCTTATATAATGTTGTTAATTGAGTGATAACTTAGGTGAACTAATTGTGTTTATATGAGATACACAGGTGATTAATCCACAGGTACATGTGTGTGAGCAATATATGCCATGAAGGTGGATGATGTAGACAAGGCCTGATCTTTCAAAAGGTATGATAGCGTCGATTGGTGGAGACTCGACGTTCACGATCTAGGCTTTGAACCAAGACTGATTCGGACCTCCACAACCGTTACACCATTGGCCGTTGGTTATCAACCACGCGAACGCGATTGACCTCGCCGAGAAGGCTTTCCTGCAAGAGAATCGAGAACACAAGCAAGAACGGAATGAATGCAATCTGCAATTGCAAATAAATATAAGTCTTATGAAAACAAGAAGTTCAAGTCTTTATTTGAAAGGACTAATCGCCATAGGCGAACAAGATCAAGAACTGGGGCCCTGGTTCACAGTAAGCGGCCTTAGCGGCACAGTTGCAGCAAAACGACGTCTGTTTCACGAGGAAATCAAGAACTAAACAAAACCCGAACCCTAAGAAGAGCGATGGCTGCTAATTATAGACTCTTGGGTGTCACCCCCCCTGAACGCGCCCCCTAATGGACCCAAACACGATACACGGTCCAACAGACCAAAAGACGATGTCGCAGCACCCTAGACATATTCTAGATGTTGACTTGTTTCGATGATTCCTATTGATTCCGAAGAACTTTTGATGTGAGATGACTTGCATTGGTTTCCTTATCTAATTAGCTTTCCATCCATATGTGGATCGTCGAAAACGGAGTCCGAACGCGCTCGCGTGACCAGTTTTATGATAGACTGGTCTTGGAACCCAAGATTGGCTCTAACTTCAGTTGGACTGGGCCTCCACCATGAGAAACATGAATTGGCCGCCCATGCTGGACCTCCTCCACTCCTTGGCTTGGATGCGATGAAATAGTGATGTCCTCATCATCCTCCCTTTCTTGAATTGAAGTCGTCCTCGACTAAAGTAGATCGTCTCCTCCATTGGATGACAGCAACGATGGCTCCGGAAGAAGACGTTCATCTTGACGCCGAATCCTTCGCAAAGGCGGCTGCCATGATGGCCTCCCTACTGGGAATTCATCCTCCTTCTCCTGCAAAAGGTTAGTACCAACAAGAGACATAGCACT